GACACAACCTACAGCTGTCATGGTGTTATAGACACAACCTACAGCTGTCATGGTGTTACAGATACAACCTACAGCTGTCATGGTGTTACAGACACAACCTACAGCTGTCATGGTGTTATAGACACAACCTACAGCTGTCATAGTGTCACAGATGCAACCTACAGCTGCCATGGTGTTACAAATATAACCTACAGCTGTCATGGTGTTACAGATATAACCTACAGCTGTCATGGTGTTAAAGAGACAACCTACAGCTGTCATAGTGTTACAGATATAACCTACAGCTGGCATAGCGTTAGTGTCACAGAGACAACCTACAGCTGCCATAGACTGCTGTAGACATAACAGTGGCTATCAGTGAGTGCTATATACACAACCTGTAGCGGTCGAAAAGTGCTACGGACATAAAGTTGTTCTCCTATACAACCTGTACTTGTCTTCCCTCGTATCAGAGACACAGATATCGATCACATCGACAGAAGCAACACTGACTGGCTCTTGAAACTGACTACATATAAACCTGACATAAAAACTGATATGGAAAACGACGACGGCATCATGGGATACGGTAACCTCTACAAGGTCAAACAATTGTTTTCATCAAATTGAAACGAATCTCGTCTACATGTGAACAAGTACAAGCAAAAAAAAGAAAGAAAGAAAGTTCGAATTCAGAAACGTGATTATCCTATATTAGAAGACCCTTGCACTTTATTAATTTCTAACGGTACGTTAATTTGTATTCCTGTTTTGTTATATACCTGGGGTTATAAAATGTTATCTTATAAAATATTACATGTTATAAAAAAATAAGCTAAGATGAGATGTAATTATCTTTTCACGTAAAATGCTTCAATTGTTTTGGGTTATGTTTCTGTTTTTGTTGATTTTGTAAATTTTATGAATTTCCATGTACAGTGTATTCCGCTTTAACAAAGAACATTGGGTAAACAGGTCTCGCCGCCTAAAAGCTCCTTTCAGCGAACCTGCGTCTTGTTATGTGAGGAGCACGTAATGCTTCATACAGGTTTGTTTTGACTGACTGACTGACTGAGTTTAGTTTTACGCCGCTTTTAGCAATATTCCAGCAATATCACGGCGGGGAAACCAGAATAGGGCTTCACACATTGGGCCCATGTGGGGAATCGAACCCGGGTCTTCGGCGTGACGAGCCAACGCTTTAACCACTAGGCTACCCCACCGCCCCGTTTGTTTTGAAATTGTGGTAAATAGTAAACAAGGTTGTTTATAAGCGTTGCCGGCTTATCCCTTGTCGAATATGGTTTGTGGTCAGTTATCGAGGCGTTTTTTTCCCCAACGTATGCACTACTCAATTTTGTTGTGGATACTGATATATACTCATGCCGATAATAATGGTTGTCACCCCCCAGCCTATTAATAAAATTGAAGGGGGTGACAACCATTATTGGCATGAGTATATCTTGATCGGTTACAATACTAAGAATAGCGATTTAGGGATTGTCTTGTTTACTTACTATTTCCTACCTTGTAATGATGAAAAAGATTAAGTCATTTCCTAAACAATATTAAATGTTGTTTGTGTGACAACTCCCCCCAGCGACCCGTGAAGGTCCGGGTTAGAATACTGATCTTCAGTAACCCATGCTTGTCGTAAGGGGCGTTTAACGGGATCGGGTGGTCAGGCTCGCTGACTTGGTTGACACATGTCATCGGTTTCCAATTGCGCAGATCGATGCTCATGTTGTTGATCACTGGGTTGTCTGGTCCAGACTCGATTATTTACAGACCGCCGCCATACAGTTGGAATATTGCAGAGTGCGGCGTAAACCTAAACTCACTCACTCACTTCCCCCAGATTCAGTCCCTGTCTGGAGATTATCCCAATCGAAATTTGAGTAGTATATAATGTTATTGGTTCTATGTGGGAGTAAGCCTGAAGTGATACGGGTGTCAGACGTTTATCACCACAGTTAGACCCAGTGGTATTGACAAACCTTGAACCCACATTCATAGTTTCCTGCCTTGCACTAAGGGACATAACTCATAACAGCGAATTGCGAGGTACTGGACCACCCGAACCTCTCTAATAGTGTTATGGTGCAGGCAAATAAACGCTCATAAGCGTGTAAATCATGGATTCGAACCATGGACTACGGCATCATGGCACGGCTAAGCTGCTCTACCATTTAAACCACTATGGCACGTGCTTCCCGACATGCGTTTGAACCTGCCATTTTGCCTACTATCTACCCATTAATCTCAATCCCGTCAGGCAGACGGACTTGTACAGCGTCGTAAACGTCCCATCAGCTAACAAATTGAAACAACAAATAATGATCCCCCAGCTTGGGATACATAACACATGCACTTCTTGACATAGTGAGTGCGATCCCATATCTTTATGCCTCAATTCTAGTCCAACCTTACGCCAAATCAATACTACAGCTGAACATTTTGTACCGGAAGTTGTCCGTTTTGTGCGGCATGGATATTTCCGATCACGTGATCTATAGCGCCGGAGTTCCTGCCTTTGAGTACACGTAACCCATAAAATAGACAGTCGCTTCTCAAAACTCTTTGATTTCGTTGAATTACAAACCAATAATGGATCTCGCAACGTACCGGGTCCTTAATTACACCTTGAAAGTTTCCCAGATTGCTAAATCGATAGATATTTGCTCGTAAGGAGATCGAAGGGTATAAACCGCCAAGTAGAAGATGGGGTAATGAGCGACAATTCAATGAACATACAATCGATGCCCCTCCGTCAGGCGATGTGTGTGCAGAGAACACCTGATGAAAGTTGCTTGCGCCTCAAAGATGATTTATGGCCTGGAAGCGTAACGTCAATATTTATTCTGTGGATTTGATAGCATTTAGGCAGAGCGATAGAGGTTATATCGGACAATAGTCTCAGTGATAATGAACATTTTTCATCACAACTGATGATAACTGATGTTATGTTGTATTCGACGATGTCCTATATTGCGACAGGGTCGGAGGTCAGGACTTGAATGAGTGAGTGAGGTTTAACGATGCTTTGAACAGAATTGCTGATTAATTAAAACATGGGCGATGCGATTTGAAAGCAGGAATGCGGGGCCTCAGATAGGATCACACCTGACCCCCTTTTCAAATGGGTGAGTGAGTGCGTGAATGAGAGAGAGAGGGATCAAGAGAGAGAGAGAGAACAAGAGAGAGAGAGAGAGAGAGAGAGAGTGAGAGAGAGAGAGAGCAAGAGAGAGAGAGAGGGTAAGAGAAAGGGAGAGAGAGAGAGAGGGTGAGAGAAAGGGTGTGTGTGAGAGAGAGAGGGGATTTGTTTGTACTGGTGTGTTGTATCAGCGTGTGTGTGTGTGTGTGTGTGCGTGTGTGTGCGTGTGTATGCGATCTTACTCATGCTATCAACGGCCAGTATGTCTGGTCCAGATCCGATTATTTAAATGTCACCGTCACACATCTGTGATTTCGTCGTGTGCAGCGATAAACAAATAAACAAATAAACAAACAAACGAAACGATCTCTCCGTCTGTCCCGTGATTGACGAGTTGCGCTTTAATGCTTCTTGACAACAGGGCGGATACGATATAAGAGAACCGGAAATATATGAAAATAGTCGATTCAGGAAGAAACCAATTTGGTACCGAGCATGTTGTTTACAGTAGAACCGCATAAAGTAAGCTGCGAGTAATCAGCACACGTTATTGACACCAGAATACCGTCAGACTGATGTTCATAAACAGATAAAGCAGTCATTTCCCAGCCCTCATCATCTCTGCCAAGATTGATAGAAATCACTACGCCATAACGCCTCTCGCCTTATCACAACTGCACAGCGTGCGACCCATCCGCGCATAACCAACTTGTGTTTCTGTCAATAAGATCTGGTATTAACGCGCTGCAGTCGATGAAAAAACAATGGCGGTGGTCTCAGGTGCAAAATATGAACCAACAACAAACAGCGGAGTCCATAAATCTGTGAGATTTATCAACAGAGATCTCATCGCATTTAGAGACGTGTATTGCCGTTATTGAGATCGTATCATGGACACATTAGCCCGGGAGAAAACCACAGAGATATTTGTAGCCGTACATTATTTCTAGGCCTTTGATTTGGTTTTTTATGACATAGGTTCAACTGAGTACACGTTCTCGTATTTAAATAAATGGTTTTAATGTGTTCTTGTTACAAACTGAGCGTTACATGTGTAACCGGGCACGTGTAGATCGATAGAGAATGCATTTCATAGTGAATTAGTTTGAGTTTAGTTTGAAGCCCTTTTGGCAAGATTCCAGCAATAGCAAGTAGGGGACACCAGAAATGCGATTCACACATCGTATCCATGTGGAGAATCGAACCTGGATCTTCAGCGTGACGAGCGAACGCGTACCACTAGGCTACCCTACCAGCCCAATATATGTAAAATGACAGTGTTTTAAACGCTTTCATAAGTATATACACTTAAAAAACATAAACAATACATTATCTCTGCTTCTGCGTATTTAGGTGTAAAATGTGAAATAAGTGTAATCCTATTCAGTATCCAAAATGTCGAGAATACTATAAATGATATGTATGGTGTGTTTCAATGTGTCTGTAAAGGTATTTTTCGACCACAAACTAAGAAAATTACTGAATTTCTAGTTACCGTTAGGTGTTATCTCACAGTACAAATTCTTAGAATATTAGATTATTGTGTATATATCTGTATTGTTGGCCATGGGCCACTACATTGAATAAATACTTACATTCGTCTGGTTTAATGACGAACGCCTTGAGTATCTGACGAATGTCAGAAAATACATTGAGACTCGAATTTCGAGATACCAACTCAACTATAATAATTTACAGTAAACTAGGGTTATATCGAACTCAGAGGAACTACTAAAGTTAGTTCCTTAACACCGTAGTTCCTTGTACGTGTTTGGACTACTACATACCGCAAGTGGTTGTGACCAAACAGTTCACACAGTTATGTGAGTGACTCATGTTTTACGCCGCTTTTCTTAGTATTCCAGTTTTATCTCGGCGTGCATATGCATACCTTCCCAGAATAATGATGCTCAGAAGTTAATGATGGTCGTTGATATCGGCTTTGATGATGATTGTGATGACCATTGTGATGACCATTGTGATGACCGTTGTGATGACCATTGTCATGACCATTGTGATGACCATTGTGATGACCATTGTGATGACCGTTGTGATGACCATTGTAATGACCGTTGTGATGACCATTGTAATGACCGTTGTGATGACCATTGTGATGACCGTTGTGATGACCATAGTGATGACCATTGTGACTACCATTGTGATGACCATTTTGATGATCATTTTGATGACCATTTTGATGACCATTTTGATGATCATTGTGATGACCATTGTGATGACCGTTGTGATGACCATTGTCATGACCATTGTGATGACCGTTGTGATGACCATTGTGATGACCGTTGTGATGACCATTGTAATGACCGTTGTGATGACCATTGTAATGACCGTTGTGATGACCATTGTGATGACCGTTGTGATGACCATTGTGATGACCATTGTGACTACCATTGTGATGATCATTTTGATGACCATTTTGATGACCATTTTGATGATCATTGTGACTACCATTGTGATGACCATTGTGATGACCATTTTGATGACGAATGTGATGACCATTGTGATGATCATTGTGATGACCATTGTAATTACCATTGTGATGACCACTGTAATGACCATTGTAATTACCATTGTCATGACCATTGTGATTACCAATGTGATGACCATTGTCATGACCATTGTAATTACCATTTTGATGACCATTTTGATGACGTATGTGATGACCATTGTAATTACCATTGTGATGAAAATTGTAATGACCATTGTAATTACCATTGTCATGACCATTGTGATGACCATTGTGACTACCATTATGATGATCATTGTGATGACCATTGTAATTACCATTGTGATGACCATTGTAATGACCATTGTAATTACCATTGTCATGACCATTGTGATGACCAATGTGATGATCATTGACATGACCATTATGATGATCATTGTGATGACCATTGTGATGACCATTGTGACTACCATTATGATGATCATTGTGATGACCATTGTGATGACCAATGTGATGACCATTGTAATGACCATTGTGATGGCCATTGTGATGACCATTATGATGATCATTGCAATTACCATTGTGATGACTGTTGTGATGACCATTGTAATGACCATTGTGATGACCACGCCACTGAAACTTCAGTGATCTTGTGCCCGACATAGCATCCTTCAACATGGAGCTTATACATGTATGTAAATGTGCCGCCAATTCTCCCATTATTAGAGCATTAAATGAGATATGTAGTTGATCCAGCTGTGACACACACTTCCATGTCGCTATAACAGACAATAATACACGATAAAAGCCATTAGCACTGCACCAGGTATCGTTTACGGGCTCGCTGCGCATATTACAGTTCACGACACTCCCTGACACAATACGTTAGTGCATTTTGCTGAAAGCTGTTACATTTGATATTGAAATTGACGGAGGACTGCAGAGCTGAACTTGAAGATGCAATGGTGACGTCAGCGTAAACTGGTTTGCTCAGTGTTTTATGACTGTATAAAGCCAGTTATATGGTATCTGGTTGAGGCAAGGGAGCATAGTTTGTGGAAGGTTCTTACAGGTGGGAGGTCAGTGGTGGAGTGCGTCTGACAGAGTCGTCGGTAGAATAATGCTGGTAGAGCGGCGTTGACAGAGAGACCAAGGTAGAGGGTCATTAGATGAGTAGCATTTACAAAGCGGTGTTGGTAGAGCGGCCTTGATAGTGGTCTGGTACATCTGACACTGCCATTTTGCTTACGATCGTCTAGATCATGACCATCTACATGGGCAGCAAATTGCAGGTATCGCCGTGGTAAAATCCAAACTGAGTGTGCGAGTGAGTGAGTGAGTTCGGTTTCGAACAGTGTTCCAGTTATATATACTGAGTGAAAAAAATAAGGGATCACATGAAAGCACAAGTGTTCCTTTATTTTTTTCCAGCTTTCATCACAGGCTGTGCGATAGAAGGCTTGTGAAGAAACCTTGGAAAAAATAGAGGAACACTTTTGCTTTCATGTAATCCCTTATTTTTCCACTGAGTATATATACGTGTCAGTTTGACGAGGGAGGTAATCCCGGAGTGATGTAGGTCTTTAACGTTTTCACTTTTCGTGACATCAACGTATGGGGCTGGCAAATGAAAAACCTGGATCGAACCTGGATTCGAACCCACAATCACATTTTTCTGACGTGCCAAAAGACGCATCTCTGCAAAGCCAATTGCGGCGCCTTATACGACAGGGTCACTGATGTTCCTCCTGTACCAAAATACGTGTATCAAGTTTTAAAGAGTGAGTTTTACGCCGGTTTTAGCAATACATGTATTGGCGGGAGACACCGTAAATGGGCTTTACCCGTTGTAACCATTTGGGGAATCGAACCAGGATCTTCGGCGTGACGAGTGAACGCTTTAACCACTAGGCAACCCAACCGCTACCTTAAGATTTAATTATAAACATTGGCATAATTCATTAATAACATAAAACATATTTCCTGAAACGATTGATATTGGGCGACCATATTATACGATATATAATGTACTGATTATTTATGGTATCGTTTGCACCATTTAGAATAAGAGTGAGTTTCGTTTTACTACGCTTTTAGCAATATTCCAGCAATATCACGGGGGACCCCAGAAAAGGGTTTCACATATTGTACCCATATGGGGAGTCGAAACCAAGTCTTCGGCGTGACGAGCGAACGCTTTATCCACTAGGCTAACCCATAAGAAGGTATTGAAGATATTGAAGCTCCATCAAAGGTACGAGTCACTGAAAGGAACATCTTACAACTGCGCAGCGATTTACTATTTTTTAAACAGATCTCAATAGTTTCATTTACGACGTTATTGTTGTCTTGATCTGAAACCTCATTTGAGCATCTGAAAAAGTGGTCATTTCTAATGGGCTTTTAATTACCAGTTTGCCGGTGATCCTTTCACGTCAACTATCGAAAGGTTTGACATTTGCTCGCCTCAGACAGAGGTACTTTCAGGAGGTTTCAAATTACCTCAACGCTTTATGTCGACGTAACCTTAAAACTGACCTTTGTAAAAGAGCGTGATCTGGTCGAAAAACGGCTCACCCAGCGCATTACGCACGCCTCCACAAAACGTCAAAACTTATTAGCAAAGTTCGATCCACCGTCCAAGTCATTGTCGCTGTCGCTTACCGCAAAGTAAATGTCCGGATCGCATATGACCACGACAAAAGCTACATCTCGTAGAAGCGTGATTGTTGCGTGTTGGTCGGTCATGTCCGACTCCTAGAGTCGTGACTAAAATTAGTTTCTGCTCAGCAGTATTTCTCGGGAAAACATGAAAAGGACGGCTTTCTGAATCCGATCATGGAACACAAGGAAAGCTTGGTTGAGCGATTAGACACGCATGCAATATGTAATCAATGGAACGCGATCTTTGTTTGTTATAACCAAATACTGTATTCAAGATGTCTACGTATGTAGGAATTGGTCTATGCGCTTCTGGGCCACAGCCAACATCACAAGGCAACAATGTCATGTGGACACGTCCGTCTTGAGTAAATAAGTCCCAGACGGATCCTGTCCCGACTTTCGCCAAGAAATGATATAAACGGTTGTTATTACGAAAGTTGCGTAGTCTCGACTAAATATCTTAGTTATCTAAACTAACGGGATTTGGTTTCCTTGGTGCCAAGGCTTACGGTAAGTTGGAAAGGGTAACCAAGTTTCATTTGCTAAAAGGTTCTATTGACGATCACTTATGAAAATAAATTTCGATGACTAATGTTATTAAATTAGATGGTGCCGACAGATTTATAGGCTTTGGGGTCTGGGACAGGAACAATAGGTATTGATATTCAGATTATGTATTTGCAGGGTGTCTGGGATGTAAGTGTAGTGGATATTGAAGAATTAATGTATGCACGAGTAACATGTCTGGGATATATGTTGCAGGTATTGATTTATTTGTTCTTTTGTTTGTTTGTTTAACGCTGTAGCATGCATTCATTAAGTCCCTCTTCCTGTCAACAACGGATGCTGGGGACCAACTCTGCTCTGGAAACCTTCAGGGAACACTGTTTGTTTATTGTTCCAACGTCGCACTCAGCAATATTCCAGCTATATGGCGGCGGTCTGTAAATAATCGAGTCTGGACCAGACAATCCAGTGATCAACAGCATCAGCATCAATCTGTGCAATTAGGATAAGATGATATGTGTCAACCAAGTCAGCGAGCCTGACCACCCGATCCCGTTAGTCACCTTTTACGACAAGCATGGGTTGCTGAAGATCAATTCTAACCCGGATCTTCACGGATCTTGTGGGTATAGATGAAACACTGTATGCACGTGAAGCATGCCTGAGATATATGTAGTCGATATTTATGTATTACTGTATGCACGTGTGGCATGCCTTGAATGTATGTAGTGATATTGATGAAACACAGCATTAACTGATACATGCGTGTGGAATAATTGATTTATTTCAACCTTGACTATGTAAGCGCTTGCATATGGGTCTACATGCGGCTCACTCAGTCTATTTGTAGAATATTTTCCATTTGATCAGTGTTTCTTGATATCAGTCACTCCGTTTATCTTGAGAAGGAGGTAACTCGGGATTTTAAAGGGAGTCATACAGGAATCTAACATATGTTCGCCCCTAACTCTAACCCTTACCCTAAGGGCGAACAGATTCTTTATGATAATACCATTGAAGGTTAGCGAGTGAGTGAGTATAGTTTAACGCCAGCTTTAGCAACATACCAGCAATATCACGGCGGGGGACTCCAGAAAGGGGCTTCACACATTGTACCATAGTCTGTCTCACACAGTCTGTCTCACACACTGTACCCATGTGGGGAATCAAACCCGGGTCTTTGGCGTGACGTGCGAACGTTTTAACCACTAGGCTACCCAACAACCCCCACCATTGAGGGTAAAAATGGATGAATGGATGAAGATGAGGATTAATGAGTGAGCGAAAGTACGCATTTAATAGCAATGCTTTGTCATACCCAGTTACACGTATGAGTGTATGTATGATAAAATACATGGTGCTGGGTTCTGTATTTGATCTTCGTGGTATGCCTACACATCCTGCTTGTATTAAACTTTATCTACAGAGGAATTGGTGGATACTTGGCGAAGTGGTAGAGATCCTTGACGAACAGGGATCCTTAGTGAGCTAGTGCATATACTTAACGAGTTAGTAGAAATATTTAACAAGATAGTAGACATCCTTGGCGAACTGGTAGAGATCCTTGACGAGCCAGTGGATATACTTAACAAGTTAGTGGAGATGCTTAACGAGATAGTAGACATCCTTGGCGAACTGGTAGAGATCCTTGACGAGCCAGTGAATATACTTAACAAGTTAGTGGAGATGCTTAACGGGATAGCAGACATTCTTGGCGAACTGGTAGAGATCCTTGACGAGCCAGTGAATATACTTAACAAGTTAGTGGAGATGCTTAACGGGATAGCAGACATTCTTGGCGAACTGGTAGAGATCCTTGACGAGCCAGTGAATATACTTAACAAGTTAGTGGAGATGCTTAACGAGATAGTAGACATCCTTGGCGAACTGGTAGAGATCCTTGGTAAACTAGTAGTGATACTTGGTGAGCTAGTACAGATGTTTGGTGAGATAGTAAAGATTGGCTAGTGTAGATGCTTGTTCAACTGGTATAAATATCTAAGGAACTGATAGAGATACTTAACGAGGTATTAGATATCCTGGATGTGCTAGCAGAGGTGTTTGGTGAGCTAGTAGAAATACTTGACGAACCTATTAGTAAATTGGTAACAGGTTCGATGAGATGCCAGTGTGATTGCCTCACAAATTTTGGTTATATACTCCCCAGGAAGCTGAAGATGAAAATTGAGTACACACGGACCCATTGACCGTAGTGAAAATATAACGCATGCGCAGACTTTAAGGTGTAGAATATATATATGTATTATAACAATATATAAATATGTATTGTGACTGCAGTCTTTTAATACCACTACCGCCATTCAACAACTCTGAAAACGAATGCCATCATCAATTTTGAATTTACAAATACTATTCGACAAATCAATTTCCAACAAAAATCGTGTTCATATCTGATCGATTTTAATACATTGAGCCTAGCGTGATTTGCTCGGAATCTGTATGGAAGCCGCATTGTTCCTCGTTTCACGCAAACCGTCGGTCCATCG